CTGAGAATAAACCTCTAGATTATCCACAAATTGTCTTGACCTTTTATACCAGTACCACCTCCAGTTCAGTGTGGGATAATTTTCTGCCATATTTCTGCTGTAAGTATTCCAGGGAACTTTTTCCTTAGGTGTCTAATCTATCAGAAGTCAGTGCCCCGTCTGTTTGTCCTCCTGTAACCTTCACCACCAAATAGAGTGCCCCTGATGCTTCTCCAATACCAACGTCCCCAGGGCCTTCTTCCTCTGTCCTCTTTTTTTTTGGCCAGTTCTGGGGCTTGAACTCAGGGCCTGGGCAGTCCTTGAACTTCTTTTGCTCAAGGCTAGCACTCTACCACTTGACCACAGCACCATTTCCGGCTTTTTTTTTTTGTTGTTGTTGTTTATATGGTACTGAGGAATTGAACCCAGGGCTTTATGTATGCTAGGCAAGCACTCTACCACTAAGCCACATTCCCAGCCACCAACCTCCTTTTTCTTATAGGTGCCCACAAAAATAGAAGCTGGGTGATGGTGGCTCATGCCTGTAATCCTAGCTTCTCGGGAGGCTGAGATCTGAGGATCGTGGTTCCAAAGCCAGCCTGGGCAGGAAATTCTGTGAGACTCTAATCTCCAGTTAGCCACCAGAAAACCAGAAGTGACACTGTGGCTCAAAGTGGTAGAGTGCTAGCCTTGAGCAAAAGAGCTCAGGGACAGCATCAAGGCCCTGAGTTCAAGTCCCACAACAACCAAATGAAAAGAAGGAAGGGAGGGAGGGAGGGAGGGAAGGAGGAAAAGAAAGGAAGGAAAGAAAGAAAGAAAGACGTAACTTCAGCAGAGACTTTAGTCTCCAAAGCTGTAGCTCCCTGGAAGGGAAGATGCCATATGTTGGGTCTTGCTAGAACCCCTATAGCACCTGCCATTCTCGGTATAAAACACTGGTGATGATTGGAAATACATGTCTCTACTTAAATTAGGATTTGGAGAGAGAATAACAAATTAAAGATGTGGGTGAAGTGAAGGAAGATACTGAAAGTTGAGAGGCTAAAGGTGGGGCCAGGAAAATAGAAACCAGAGAAAGTGGTATTTTAGTCTTGTTTCCCCAAATGCTTAGTTTTGAACATTCAGTGTCAGAGCACCTGGATTTGTTCCTTGATCTCAAGAAAGTTTCTTTACCTCTCTGTGCATCAGTTTTCTAATCTACGAAATGGGCTATTGAGGAATCAAGTGTCTGAAATTTAGGTCTAGCTATTATTTTCTCATCCTATGTATAATGGAAGGCAGAAATAAGAAGGGGAGGAAAAAGGAGAGTAACTGGAAGGCAGGGGGCTGAAGGAGCCTTGAAAGTCTTGTCTGGGTTATTGTGGTAGTGCATAGCTGTAATCTTAGCACTTAGGAGGCTGAGGTAGTAGGATCATGAGTTTGAGGCCAAGGTGAGCTACAGAGTTGTGACCCTGGTTCAAAAAAAGAGCTTAGGGACAGTGCCCAGGCCCCATGACCAACAAAAAACAATGGCTCACGCCTATAATCATAGCTACTCAGGAGGCTGAGATCTGAGGATCACGGTTCAAAGCCAGCCCAGGCAGAAAGTTCTATAACACTCATCTCCAATAAACCACTGGAAATGGCACTGTGGCTCAAGTGGTAGAGCGCCAGAGTTGAAGAGCTCAGGGACACTGCCCAGGCCAAGTTCAAGTCCCATGACCCATCAAAACAATAACAAACCACCAACTAAATGTCTTGAAGGGCAGATCTGTCTCCACTGGTGCTTTTTTTTTTTTGTTTTCCAAGTCAAGAAATATCAATGATAAGACTTTTGGGGGCCAGCCTCTGCACAGAAGGGAAGAGCAGCTCCTGCTTGTATGTTACCCCCTTTAGGACAAGATCTCTGATGTGCCTTGTAGCTTGACACTTTCCACTCAAGGTCCCAGAGTAGCAGTGTGTCCTCTGGAGGGGAGGCCACTGGCTTTGCTTCTAGAAGCCCTGAAGAGCCACCCAATTCACAACATAGTAGGCAATGGGAAAGAGATTTAATTAGGCTTTTGATGTTCAATTTCCTCTATTTGATAATGTTTAAACTGGTTCCAAAATTCTGGGTCTGTTCCCAGCCCATTCAGGAAGATGGAAAATCCTCCCTAGCCTAAGTACCCTCTTTTCAACCCCCAGCAGCTTTTCTGATGTCCTAGCTTGGGCTCCGGATATTGATTTCTCAGGGGGGGATCTCTGTTTTATGGTACCCATAGGTAAATATTGACAAAATGTACACAGGTCCAAAACAGAGCTGAGTAAATGCACATAGACCTACCATTGGAGGGGTAGTGAGGAGACAGGAAGGGTGTGGAGATGCAAGAGGGATGGGCAGGATTAGGCATGGCAGGCCCAAGAGCTCCTCTAGGAATGGAAAGAAGCATTGTGATCGCAAGCACAAGGCCCCACCCCACAACTTTGAAAATACAGCAGGAGAGATTAATGTTTAAGACAGTCCTTGAAAGTAGGTTTAGAGAGAGGAACAAGGGATACAACGGTGAATGAGAGAAACAGCTGTCAGAAACAGGCACCATGTTTTGAGGCTGAAGATGAGGTTAGGTAAAAGGGTGACACAACAGTGCTGCTGGGAATAAAAGTGTTTCTCTCTAAGGAGCTGTGGCTTTTCCACATCCCCATCTTGGTGGTCCTTTGGATGCTAACACCACCCCTACCTCTCTAGCCCCACAGGTCTTTCCAAGTTCAGGCCTCAGCTCTTCTTTCATAGAAGACAGATGCTAAACCTTAGTGTGTTTGAAACTTGAAGTTTTTAGTATTTTTTGGCAGAGTAGCCAAGTGCATGTGGGGGGGTCGAGGGCTAAAACTAGGACTGGCTATTCCTGGGTTATCTATCCTGGCCTAGCCACCTTTCTGCACCTAGTGAATAAAATGAGAATTTTTTTTTACTTTTTTGGTCGTGGGGCTTGAGGACTCAGAATCTGGGGGTTGTTCCTGGACTTTTTGCTCAAGGCTAGTGCTTTAACGACTTGTGCCACAGCACCACTTCTGGTGGCTAATTGGAGATAAGAGTCTCCTGGACTTTCCTGCTGGGGATGTCTTTGAACCAGGATCCTCAGATCTCAGCCTCCAAAGTAGCTAGGATTACAAGCATGAGCCTACTAGGTACCCTGCCTGGAGCCTCATTCTTAACCCTGAGGCTGTACACTCACACCAACCGGTATACAACCCTAGGCTCTGTGTCCCCACCCCCACAGCCCAAGGGCATCTGTCAGAAACAGGAAATGAACCAAACCCAAAGCAAGAACTGAAACCAGTTACTCTCTCCTAGAGGCAATGAGCAAATAAGTAGTAGTTGTGAGCAGTCCATCACCCCAGGGCTCTCTCTGATACTGGAGATGAACCAGGGTACAGTAGGGGCTGGTTCCGAGAATAACATTGGGGAGAGGGCAACAGGAACTGTTGCCAAAGGGGGCAAAAGGTAGATGTGATTTGTAACCACAACATGCAAATAAGATGAAACAAGTTTTCTAATATTTGAATCCCCGAGTCATTAGAAACTGGTGCTACTTCTTTTTTGCCAGCCCTAGGGCTTGAACCCAGGGCCTGCACACTGTTGCTGAGCTTCTTTTGCTCAGAGCTAGCATTCTACCACTTGAGCCACAGTGTCACTTCCAGTTTTTTCTGCTTATGTGGTACTGAGGAATTGAACCCAGGGGCTTCATGTATGCTATGCAAGCACTCTACTACTAAGCCACATTTCCTGTTCACTACTTCATTTTTTTTAGTTTTTTTTTTGTCGGTCATGGGGCTTGAACTCTGGGCCTGGGCGATGTCCCTCAGCTCTTCAGCTCAAGGCGAGCGCTCTACCACTTGAGCTACAGCGCCACTTCCAGTTTTCTGGTGGTTTATTGGAGATAGGAGTCTCACAGTCTCTCCTGCCCGGGCTGGCTTTGAACCACGATCCTCAGATCTCAGCCTCCTAAGTAGCTAGGATTACAGGCGTGAGCCACCAGCGCCCAGCTCACTACTTCATTTTTATCCTGGCATTTGTGAGTTGCTATTTAAAATGACTAGCAGTTTAAGCTGTGCACTGGTGGCTTATGTCTATAATCCTAGTTACTCAAAGGGGCTGAGATCTGTGGATCAAGGTTCAAGGCCAGCCTGGGCAGGAAAGTCCATGGATCAAGGTTCAAGGCCAGCCTGGGCAGGAAAGTCCATGAAACTCTTATCTCCAGTAAACTACTCAGAAAAAGCCGAAGACTGGCAGCTGCATTTGGTAACACTTCTTCTGAGGCACCAGAAACTGCCAGTGGAGAGGAAAAGTCACCTTTAGAGGAACCTATGTCACCCCCCCCCCCAGCCCAACAGGAGAATATGTAGTCATTACAAAACAGCACCTCATGGGGTTTCAGGTCTTTAATTTTCTGTGTGATTTTTTTTTAAAACAATCAAATTGGCAGAAAAAATGGCTGGAGCTGGTAGGCATTGGGGGGTTCCACTGAAATCCCCCAAATTCATACTGAGGTTTTAGGTCATAGTTGCTAAGGTGGGTGATGAGGTTAGGATTTCTAGAGATTTCCCAACCCACACTAGAACTTCTTCCAAATGGCCAAGGAAGAGGTCAGAATAGGAGCCCCATTACTATAGATGAAGGGAGAGGTCACTGTCTCTCCCCCACCACTCAAGTTCAGAGATGTGGAGATAGAAGGCTACGATCTCTAAGTGCCTACAATCTTCTCTTAAAAATATAAAACACGTGCAGTTGGCTTTGGTACAAAAACAAAACAAAACAAAACAAAAAACAACAGCAACAAAAACATTCTGGTCCCTGTGGATTTTTCTCTCACCCCCAATAAACCAAGATGGCCACCCTAACCTCTACCCCATCAACTCTAGGAAGCCAGGTTATCTCCCTGAGATTTCCGTGGAGGATGGAGAGAAGGGAGAACAGCAGTAGGAGGGCAGCAGGAGTAGGAAAGGGACAAAGTCCTGCCCACAGCCCTCCTTAAAGGGGTAGTAGGCCCTGGCTGTGGTCTTGCTTTCTTTCATGTTTGCTGGGGAGAGTGTCAGACTTGAACCCTGCAGCCGCATGGCTAAGCCTGAATACCCAGACCCCAGTAGTGTTAAAGGAGAAGGGCCCCTGATCCCTATGGCTTGGTTCCCATGTCTCTGGTCCTTTAAGTCTCCTCTCTCCCCCTATAACTAATAAACAATAAATAAATAAATTTTTCTAAAGTAGAGGGAAGAAGGCATGAAAAATTGGCATCTGTGGTGTAGGCTTTTGGATGCCACTGGGGGTTATTGTGGCCTAAATCCCCCACTTCCTAAATGCCCCTAGGTATCCAAGGATCCCAGAGCTGGCAAGGACAATTAGCAGTTCTTTCAAATGTTCCCTCATCATTGGCAGATTGGAGTTCTCAAGGTTTGCCCCCCTCAGTAATGTTCTTCAGGGGGGCACTGGGCAGAGGGAGGGGCCCGCTTAGCTCTCTGAAGCCACAAGTTCCCCATCTCGGTTCTCTGTCTCCTCTGGGATGTCTTGCATTCGAGTAAAGTCTGAAGAGGGACAAGGTAAAGCCAGTGAGTGAGACTTTCCCATGACAAACTACACCCCTATATTACTGCCTCCCCATCTTCAGACTGTGGAGGGATAAACGCTCAGGTGAGGGAAAAGTCAGCAGTGGGCCATATCTTAAGTCTTTTTTTTTTTTTGGGGGGGTCCGGTCGTGGGGCCTGAACTCTGGGCCTGGGCGCTGTCCCTCAGCTCTTCAGCTCAAGGCTAGCGCTCTACCACTTGAGCCACAGCGCCACTTTCCGGCTTTTTTCGTTTTGCTTATGTGGTGCTGAGGAATTGAACCCAGGCCTCATGCATACAAGGCAAGCGCTCTACCACTGAGCCACCTTCCCAGACCCTTAAGTCTTTGATATATAAAGATACAATTATAATCAGGGCTGGGAATGTGGCTTTGTGGTAGAGTGCTTGCTTAGCTTGCAGGAAGCCCTGGGTTCGATCATATAAAGAGAAAAAGCTGGAAGTGGCGCTGTGGCTCAAATGGTAGAGTGCTAGCCTCGAGCAAAAAGAAATTCAGGGGGCTGGGAAGGTGGCTCAATGATAGAGTACTTGCCTCATACATGCATGAGGCCCTGGGTTTGATTCCTCAGCAACATGTGAAAGAAAAAGCTGGAAGTGACACTTTGACTCAAGTGGTAGATCACTAGCCTTGAGCTCAAGAGCTAAGGGACAGCACCCAGTCCAGAGTTCAGGCCCCACAACCAAAAACAACAACAAAAAAAAAGAAGCTCAGGGACTGTGCCCAGGCCCTGAGTTCAAGCCTCAGGACTGGCCCCAAAAATTTTTTTTTGAATTTTTTTTTTTTTTTTTACAATTTTATAATTTGAGGGATAAAAACATGGCTTAATGGTATCCAGCCAGCCTACCAACTACAATTAAGTTGCTCTTTGATTAGATTGTATTTCCTGTACCAATTACTGGGAGCTTCAGGAACTATAGACTTGAAAGCTTCTGAAATTTTTTCACTTTAAAAATGGTTTTCTTGGGGCTGGGAAGGTGGCTCAGTGGTAAAGCGCTTGCCTTGCATGCCTGAGGCCCTGGGTTCGATTCCTCAGCACCACATAAGAAAAAAGCCAGAAGTGGCGCTGTGGCTCAAGTGGTAGAGTGCTAGCCTTGAGCTGAAGAGCTGAGGGACAGCGCCCAGGCCCAGAGTTCAGGCCCCACGACCCGACCAAAAAAAAAAAAAATGGTTTTCTTGGCAATCCCTTAGTACAGCCTTTTTAAATTTTTTTCCAGTTGTAGGATTTGAACTCTGGGCAAGTACTCTACCACTGAGCTACCTTCCCAGCCCCAAAAATATTTTTTAAATAAAACTGAAAGAGAAAAAATGGATTTCTACCTGCAAAGCCTAAGAGTCGCCAAGCAATTAAGAGGAGAAACCCCTCCCCGTCTGCTTCCTAGAGCTCCACCCTGCTCAGTACAGGAAGTCCTGGCTCACCTGGAATGACTGTGGGCATCAGCAGCCAGTTCACTTAGAAACATACCAGGCCATGGCCCACACTTACTCCATGACCCCCACCACTCTCTCACCTCGTGGACTGTGGGGTGGAGACAGTCGGCTGCTCCCTTCCTCCTCACTGCCTGTGTCAGGGTCACTACTGTCTTGCAGTCGCTCCTCCGGGCTACCCAGCTCCTGCCTCTCACGGTCCTCAAAGGGTCGGTGGAGGGAGCGAGTAGTCACAGGCAGATCCAGGCGGTCATGGCCACGGCTAGGCTATGGATAGTAGGCAGGAAAAGTAGTAAGCCAGGGGATGAGCAACATGAATATTGCAGGATCTGCTTAGCTAAGGGCAGTGGGCCCTACGAGGCCTCAACACAGGCTTTCTTTCCTCTGGGGTCCAGCAACATCTGCCACCACTGGCTTCTTTTAGTGTTGACCATCCAGGTTGTTTTCTTTCAGCATCTGTCCCTGCACTTATCTGAATTCTTTTTCTTCTTTTTTTTTTTTTTGTCGGTTGTGGGGCTTGACTCTGGGCCTGGGTGCTATCCCTCAGCTCTTTAGCTCAAGGCTAGCACTCTACCACTTGCACAGCGCCACTTCAGGTTTTTCTGGTAGCTAACTGGAGATAAGAGTTCTCATGGATGTTCTTGCCAGGGCTGGCTTTGAACCATGATCCTCAGCTCTCAGCCTCCTGAGTAGCTAGGATTACAGGCGTCAGCCACCAGCATCTAGCTATTGCCTGATTTCTTAAGTTAAAAATCTCCAACAGGCCAGTATCTTTGAGGTTCTATGGACACTTGAATCTGGCCCAGGTCAGTTCACTACATGCTACCTTACCTGTGGGGGGTTGAAGCTCAAGTATAGGGCATCGCCTGCTGGGAGGCTTCGTCTCCTAGGATCCAGAGGCCTGCGGGCCCAGGGGGCCTCTGCTGGGAGTGGCTCATTCTGACCCAAGGCCGCCAACTGCCTTCGAGCCTCTTCAGCCTCCCGCTCCAGCAGAGCCCGGGCCTGCTCACTTTCCCGGAGCCGAGCTTCCAGGCTGCCGGCCTCAGTTGCCCGCTCTTCACCCAGCCGCCGACAGCGCCGCAGCTCCTCTTGCAGCAGTGCATGCTGTCGCTGCAGTAGTGCCAGCTCTGTGGCCTGCTTTTCAGGAGCCACAGGCCCAGCCCCGGCCCTGCCAGCCTCACCATCCCGGGAATTAGCTCGAGTCAGCTTCTCCCGACGCTCAGGACCCTCTGGGAACCGGGCTTCCATTAACGTGTCCTGCTGAGCCACAGCTGCCTGGGATGGGATGGGGACACATGGGGTACATCAGCAGCCTGTGTTTCCTTCTACACCTTCCTCTCAGCCCAGGGGATTAATCCTGTAGAGGTTGGCCTGAGGGAATACTTAGAAAAGACTGTTAAGGTGACTAGGCCCACCTACACCCACCTCTCTGCACAGCTATCATCCTTCCCCATCCCAGCCCTTGCCCACTGACCTGTAAGCCATGAAGAAGTCCATAGAGATTAACCAATCGCTGTAACACTTCCTGAGGACAAAGGAGAGAGTGGGAACAGTGCCCATGTTTAGGATGGGAGCACTGCCCAGAAGCTGAACAAGTATGGGTGTGGGTGAGGGAACAATACTATCTGGGAGATACTTTGAGGTACTGTCTTTCTCCACCCCACCCTAAATTGAGATACAATTTTTCAGGCTGGGAGTATCATCCTGTCTCCCATACCAACAGATTCCCACTTACCTCCTGAGGGGATCTTAGCTGGTTTCCATTTCGATCCTGCAGAAAGGGGCAAGGATGGAGAATCAGTGGACACACAAGTCCCCACTGCCAGCCCCAGAGGCCAGCTGCACCTTCCCACCCTCTAGCCAAGCCCCAAAACCTCTAGAGAAGCCACCTTCTGGTTGGAGTCTGAGTCAGCTCTGCAGAGCTCAATGGAGCCATTAAAGGTCCTGGCCTCTCCATCTGTTGAGGGGGAAAAGGAAGGTTTTGAACTCACTTTCCTAGACCTCACCCTACTGAGTCCCTGAAGCCCCCGTTCTGTTTAGTGCCCCCCCCCCCCCCGCCTACTACCTTAGTCCCCGGTCCTAGCACTCACTGGCAGTGACCCCAGGACTTGTGTTACCACCGCTGTCTGTTTCCAAGGGCAGGGATTCTCGGGATGTTAAGAGCAGCTCCACTCCAGGCCCCACTAGTAGGTCTTTCAGGCCCTCCACTGATGGAAAAAAGGAGGTGATGAGGATAGGAATGACAGAACCCCATGGGTCATCCCATCCACTGAACACACATGGACCATTCAGCAGGTATTTAGAAATGCCCTACATAGGTAGTGGGCAGACTTTCACTCAGTCATGTGGGAGACAAAGGTCATTTAATATTTCCAAGGACATGTAAGTTTACACACGAGGACCATGTCTCTCCCTGATATTCTGAGGAACTGGCCAGAAGAGGTACTTGGGCTGAAGAGTTGATAATCCCTCTGGTCTGCCCATACGTCCACTAATTAGGTGATGGTGAACACATGTGCCTAAACTCTTCCTGGAGAGCTCCCTCACCCTCACGGATGGCATCTTGCAGCAGCCGCTCGCCACGAGGTGACTCCAGGGACTCTGAGCGGAAAAGGCCCCTGGGCAGGCTGGGCAGGGGAATCCCACTACTGCCATCCTCTTCTGCCTGGAAGTGGGTCATCTCAGCAAACAGTCCAACCTTCTCCTGCAGCAGTTCTACCAGTGCCCGGTCCTTCTGCTGAAGTTCCACTGTGGGTGAGAAAAAGGTGAGCATGTGGAATAACCCCGTGTGACAGCCACAGGGCAGAGGTGGGCTAGGAAGAAAGGCAGAATTTTATTTTATTTTATTTTGCTGCTCATGAGCTTGAAATCTAGGCCTAGGTGCTGCCCCTGAGCTGCTTCTGCTCAAGGCTAGCACTCTACCACTTGAGCCATAGCACCATTTCCAGCTTCTTCTGAATAATTTACTGGCAATAAGTCTCAGAGGGTTTCCTGCCTGGGCTGGCTTCCAACCATGATCCTCACATCTCAGCCTCCTGAGTCACAGCACCATTTCTGGTTTTCTGGTGGGTAACTGAAGATAAGAATCTCACAGACCTTATTGCCCAGGCTGTTTTTGAACAGCGATCCTCAGATCTCAGCCTCCTGAGTACCTAGGATTACAGGCCTGAGCCACCAGTGTATGGCTCAATATTTTTTATTATTTTTTATTTTTCTCCTTTCCTCGGGCTTGAACTCAGGGCCTGGGCACTGTCCCTGAGCTGCTTTTGCTCAAAGCTAGCACTCTATCGCTTGAGGTACAGTGCCACTTCCAGCTTTTTTCTGTTTATGTAGTACTGAGGAATTGAACCCAGGGCTTTATGCATGCTAGGCAAGCACTCTACCATTAAGCCACATTCCCAACCTTCAAATTTTTTCTATTTTTTTTTTTTTAGGTCGGGTCGTGGGGCCTGAACTCTGGGCCTGGGTGCTGTCCCTCAGCTCTTCAGCTCAAGGCTAGTGCTCTACCACTTGAGCCACAACGCCACTTCCGGCTTTTTTTTTCTTTTTGCTTATGTGGTGCTGAGGAATCGAACCCAGGGCCTCAGGCATGCAAGGCAAGCGCTCTACCACTGAGCCACCTTCCTAGCCCCAAATTTTTTCTTTAACATATTTTGTTTTTATAACAAAAGTGACAAAGATTTATGGCAAAGATTAAATTGTCTACCATATTCTTTCCATCCTTCTTTAATTATAGAATGTGAACGGGGCTGGGAAGATGGCTCAGTGGTAGAGCGCTTGCCTTGCATGCCTGAGGCCCTGGGTTCGATTCCTCAGCACCACATAAGCAAAAAGAAAAAAGCTGGAAGTGGCGCTGTGGCTCAAGTGGTAGAGCTCTAGCCTTGAGCTGAAGAGCTGAGAGACAGCACCCAGACCCAGAGTTCAGGCCCCACAACCGGACCCCCCCACCAAAAAAAAAAATAGAATGTGAACAAGTTTCATTTGGACATAGCTGCCCAGGCAGATTATTTCCCAGCTTTATCTACAGCGAGTTACACACTGCCACGTGCTAAGCCCAGTAGGAACTGAACTCACAGCCTTATATTTGCTAGGCAAGTCTTTCAGCTATTTTTGCTTTGGTTATTTTTGAGATAAGGTTTCACTTTTTGCCCACACTGGCCAGGAAATCAATTCTATTTATGTTTCCCACAATAGCTAGGATGACAGGCACACATCAACAAACCTTTTCTGCTGAGACAGGGTTTTGCAAACTTTTTGCCCAGGCAGGCCTCAAACCTCCTCAGCCTCGAATCCTTCTGATTTTTAGTATTCCCAAACAGACAGGATTATAAGTGTGAGCCACCATTGTTTGGTGAAGAAACTTTTTTGTTGGAGTTGTTTTTTTTTTGGCTGGTCGTGGGGCTTGAACTCTTGGGCTTGGGCGCTGTCCCTCAGCTCTTCAGCTTAAAGCGGGCACTCTACCACTTGAGCCATAGCACCACTTCTGGTTTTCTAGTGGTTTATTGGAGATAAGAGTCTCAAGGCCTTTCCTGCCCAGGATGGCTTTGAATCGAGATCCTCAGATCTCAGCCTTCTGAGTAGCTAGGATTACAGGTGTGAGCCACCAGCACCAGTCCTTATTGGTGTTTTGGTATAGCAGGTCATATAGACCCTTACTAGGGACACTATACAACCAAAAAACACCCCCATAGAATCATCTCATCTTTTTAGCAATTGCATAATATTTGTATGGATATATCACAAAGTATTTCATAAGCTCCCTGTGGGTGGACTTACTCTTGATCCGCCTCAGGTAAGCCTCATCTTCTGTCTCAATCAGGGGGAAGTCTTCCCTGGATGGACATCTGGAGAGGTAATAGGTCAGGTGGGGTTGGCGGACAGATGTGAGGTTACATATCAATAATCAGTCTTCCCTCCTTCTGATACATGTTCTACATTCCCCTTATCTAGTAAGCTTCCTCACATCTTGGCTTCATTGACTTTTATTTATTTATTTTTTGTCATCTTTAGGGCTTAAACTCTGGGCCTGAGTGCTGTCCCTGAGCTCCTTAGCTCGAGGCATGTGCTCTACCACTTAAGCCATAGTGCCACTTCTGGTTTTCTAGTGGTTTATTGGAGATAAGAGTCTCATAGACTTTCCTGCCCGGGCTGGCTTTGAACCAAGATCCTCAGATCTCAGCCTCCTGAGTAGTGAGGATTACCGTGAGAGCCACTGGCTCCTGTGCTCTTTTTCTCAAGGCTAGCACTCTACCACCTTGAGCCATAGTTCCATTTCCAATTTTTTTTTTGTTAATTGGAGGTAAGAGTCTCACTGACTTTCCAGCTCAGGCTGGCTTTAAACCATGCATGATCCTCAGATCTGAGCCTTCTGAGTAGCTAGGATTACAGGCCTGGATGCATAAACACTTTTACATGTAAACTTCCCTTCTTGGCTCTATCAGGTTGAGTTTAATGGGAACCATCCCATCTTCTCCCTAACATCAATGCTTTTATTATCTTCTTTTTTTCATTTTCAGAAAAGATAAAATGCAATATAATCCAAAAAACAGTCTCTTGCCTACAGATCAAGATGTTAATGAGGCTCAAACTGTCCTTTTGGCTGGTAGCTGTAACCATTCTAATTGTTCTTTTGCTTTTCAGCTCATGCTACATTTGAAAGGTAGTTGAGGTTTTCAGCATATAAACTTTGACATGATTCTCTCAGCCACTGCTCCTCCCTGTTAAAGCTAGGTTCTGTTCCCAGGTGGTACTGAGGCCTAGCACAAATGCCATAGGTACTTCTGAGGCCATATGTACAAACAACACAGGCAGCAGGCACACACTCACACGCGCACACTCTGCTGAATGACTCGCATCCAGGTGCTCCGGTCATCCCGGGATGCTGTGTGCACCTCATACATCTCAGGAGGGGCCGCGCTAATCAGAAACATCCCCTTTTCTTGGTTGGCAATGTCCCGAACAATCAGATTCTGCAGTGATACCACCGAAGGCTTGTCCTGTTGGGAGAAAGAATTAAGCCTGGGAATCCTAAGCTAATTAGGTCTTCAATCCTGGAATGCCCAAAGGATTGAGGAAGACACGCTGCCCCCTCTTCTGGGCCATTCAGAGAGAACTTGGAAATGTGTATGACCTTTGTCAGATTGACTTTAAGATTTATTTTCATCATCTATAAAATGCCAGTGGCTAAAAATGGGCTTTCCTCATAAATATTGAAATATCTGAATATAATAATATGATAGCAAAAATGATAACTAATTTTTATTTTATTATAGTAATAGTTATAATAGTTGACAGGAAGACTCCAGGGCTTTTTCACTTGGGGAAGAAAGCAAGCAGAGCTTGAGACATTTGCAAGTGTTAAGAGAATAAGGACTCACCAGAGCAGGAAAGATGTACTTCTGATCCTTCTCTTGGAGAAACAGTAGCACATCGGTCATGAGCAGCATTAGCACATCTGGTAGGAGTATAAAGTGGGAGAATGGTCAGCACTAGAGAGACTGAGCAGCCATTTCTCTGTGGGCCTACACCATCAGATAGAACTTCCCATTCCCCTCTTCTTCCCCTAATCCCCCTTTTCTTTTGGTTGCTTCTGCCACCTTTGTAGACCTCCCACTTTCTCATTCTGAGAGCAGAGAAATGAAGGGGAAAAGAGAGATGTATGTGATACCAGATAAAACACCCTTTTAGGCTAGCAGGGACAGCAGGAGACCACTCAGTGCTTTTGTAGAAAACTGCCACAGCTGATCAGGCTTCTTAACCAAAGGTCTACAGGTTCCCAGGATAGCCACTGCTAGCTCCAGGGGCTCTGTAAACCTTCTGAAGTTGCATCGACAGCTGGATGTATCAATATAACATATATGTGTATTCTTCTGGGTGGAAGGGTCCAATAGTTTGTTTTGTTTTGGTAGCACTGGGGTTTGAAGTCAGCCTTGCACTTACTCGGAGAGTATTCTACCACACTTGAGCCACACTTCCATTCCTGCTTTTTGCTGGTTACTTATAGATGAAATAGAAGGAACTTCTCTCTCTCTCTGTTTTTTGGTGCTGGTCCTGGAGCTTAAACTCAGGGCCTGGGAGTTGTCCCTAAGTTAATTTGTGTTTTTGCTCAAGACTAACAGTCTACCACCTGAGTTATAGCTCCACTTTGGTTTTTTTGGCAGTTAATTGGAGATAAGAGTTTCACAGACTTTCCTGCTTTGAACCATAATCCTCAGACCTCGGCCTCCTGAGTAGCTAGGAACACAAGCATGAGCCACTGACACTGGTCTGTAGAGAACTTTTCTGCCAGGGATCGCCTAGCAATCCTCCAGATCTCAGCCTCCTGAGGAAGCTAGGAATTTAGGCTTAGTCAATGGCACCCAGCTCCCAGACTGGTCTTGAACTTGTATGGGCTCAAGCAACCTCCTGGCCTCAGCCTCCTGAATAGCTGGGAATAAAGGTGTATGCCACATGGGGCTGGGTCCAAGGCCTTTATGTTACTAAGGATTCTAAGACCAATAGGAGCTATGTGTTTCCCAGCCTTTATGGGCTTCCCTAAGTTTCATGTCTAGCATCTAACTAATATAAAAATCTTTTTTTTTACGTTTTTGCCAGTCCTGGGGCTTGAACTCAGGACCTGGGCGCTGTCCCTCAGCTCTTCAGCTCAAGGGGAGCGCTCTACCACTTGAGCCACAGCACCACTTCCAGTTTTTTTTTTCTGTTTATGTGGAACTGAGAATCTAACCCAGGGCTTTGTGCATGCGAGGCAAGCACTCTACCACTAAGCCACATTCCCAGTCTAATATAAAATCTTTTTTCTTTTTTGTCAGTCATGGGGCTTGAACTCTGGGCTTGGGCGCTGTCCCTAAGCTCTTCAGCTCAAGGCGAGCACTCTATCACTTGAGCCACACCACCACTTCTGGTTTTCTGGTTGTTTACTAGAGATAAGAGTCTCAGGGACTTTATTGCCCAGGCTGACTTTAAACTGTGATCCTCAGATCTCAGCCTCCTGAGTAGGTAGGATTACAGGTGTGAGCCACCAGCACTGAGCTAACATAAAATCTTTTTTTTTTTTTTTTTGGTGGGGGGTCCGGTCGTAGGGCCTGAACTCTGGGCCTGGGTGCTGTCCCTCAGCTCTTCAGCTCAAGGCTAGCGCTCTACCACTTGAGCCACAGCGCCACTTCTGGCTTTTTTCTTTTTGCTTATGTGGTGCTGAGGAATCGAACCCAGGGCCTCAGGCATGCAAGGCAAGCGCTCTACCACTGAGCCACCTTCCCAGCCCTAATATAAAATCTTTAAAAAACTTTTTTTTTTGGGTCCGGTCATGGGGCCTGAACTCTGGGCCTGGGCACTGTCCCTCAGCTCTTCAGCTCAAGGCTAGCGCTGTACCACTTGAACCACAGCGCCACTTCCGGCTTTTTTCTTTTTGCTTATGTGGTGCTGAGGAATCGAACCCAGGGCCTCAGGCATGCAAAGCAAGCGCTTTAACCACTGAGCCACCTTCCCAGCCCCTAAAAAACTTTTTAAAGTATCTGACCTAAATTCTTTCTGCCTTGGCATATTCCTATTTTTCACTTTGTGCTCAGTAAAGGGAGAAAGTTCACATTCTGTCTACTAGAGGAGGATTGAGAGGTCAGCCCTCATCCAACAAAGGTCAATTCTATGCAACCTAGATGTCACAGTCAAGAACACATACACTCACCCTTCATCCTTGGGATCTTACTAACTGTGGGCATACAGAATGGGAGGGCTTTTGCTAAATGCTCAGAAATAGAGCTCTGTAGCCTTGCTATTTTTAACCCTCGATGCTTTATATTCTTAGCTGCTGTGTGGGAGAGATGAAAAGGAGAGAAATGGAAGAAGCTGGTGAAGACAGAATATCCAGGCCCTCCAAGCAGATTTTATGACCTGGACACAGAGGAGCAGGCACTCTGGCCTCAGATGTCACTTGTTTTTGTCCCGAGTCCTTACCCCCAAAGCTGAAGCTGCTACTTTCTTGCCCTGATTTAGACAGAATACTTTGCAAGTGCACAAAAATTCTGAAAAGGGAGCCCACAGGACTCCATTCTCTCTCGCCTTTCCTGCCTGACCTTCTCTGGGTTCAGCCTCTCCCTGGAAACTCCCAGCTGTGCTCCTTGAATGCCAAAGCATTCCACAGCCCTGATGGCTGGGATTCCGGTTGGGGAAATTAACTGCCTTAATCTTGTCCTGTGGTCTGCATTTCTATTTTTTTTACCCCTGGGACTAGGGCTTGAACTGAGGCTCTAGCATCACAGGGTCTTCCACTCTTCTTTTTTGGTCAGTCCTGGAGTTTGAACTCAGGGCCTGGGCACTGTCCCTGAGCTTGTTTTGTTCACTCTATCACTTGAGTCACAGTCCCCTTCAGGCTTTTTCTGTTTATGTGGTACTGAGGAGTCGAACCTAGGGCTTCATGCATGCTAGGCAAGCACTCTACCACTAAGGCACACTCACAGCCCAGGTCTTCCACTCTTGAGCAATGCTCCAGCGTGTGTGTGTGTGTGTGTGTGTGCGCGCGCGCGTGTGCGCGCGCTGCTGTGGGGTCTGAACTCAGAATCTCAGACTTCAGCTAGCATGCTTAGCTAGCACTCTACCACTGGGAGCCATACCTCCAGCTCACCTTTTTATTGGTTATTTTGGAGTCTCAAGGACTTTTCTGGCCAGGCTAGCATCAAACCTTAATCTTGTAGATATCAGCCTCTCAGACAGCTAGGGTTACAGGTATGAGCTACCAATGCTCAACTGTGGTTTACATTTCTATGTCTTCATTAAAACTGATGGTTCTCTGGCCTGGCAAGGACCACAGAAATGAATATAAACTCATAAGACTGTCTTGTCCAGAATATTAAAAACAGAATGCAAAACTTTGGCTGCAATAAACAACGTATCTTTTCCTCCTACCGAGTCTCATACTTGGTGCAGGCCTACATAAAGAGAAGTCTTTTTCTTTTTTTTTTTGGTCATGGGGCTTGAACTCTGGGCCTGGGCACTGTCCCTCAGCTCTTCAGCTCAAGGCTAGCACTTTACCACTTGAGCCACAGCGCCACTTCTGGCTTTGAACTGTGATCCTCAGATCTCAGCCTCCTGAGTAGCTAAGACTACAGGCGTGAGCCCAGCGCCCAGCTAAGAGAAGTCTTTTTTTATTTTTTTGGGTTGGGGGAAGGGGGTCTAGTCATGGGGCCTGAACTCTGGGCCTGGGCACTGTCCCTCAGCTCTTCAGCTCAACGTTACTACTTGAGCCACAGGGCCACTTCCAACTTTTTTCTTTTTGCTTTATGTGGTGCTGAGGAATCGAACCCAGGGCCTCAGGCATGCAAAACAAGCGCTCTATCACTGAGCCACCTTCCCAGCCCTAAGAGAAGTCCTAAGAGTGGCTGTATCTCCCATTCTAACTCTGGACTCTTGTAGGCGCTTCCCAGAAAATCACTGATCTTTTGTTTATTTTTATGTTTTTGATAGCGTCTCACTATACAGCCCAGGTCGACTTTGAACTTCCTATATAGTCAAGGCTGCCCCGGAATTTATGATCATCCTACCTCAGCCTCCTGAGTGCAGGAATTACAAATGTGAACCACCACGCCCAGCAAGGTCTACTGACCTTTAAAGCGACCTGTCGCTGTCTTCCAGAGCAGGCAGCCATCATGGATGAGCTTGCGCCGCAGAAGCTCCTCTCGGCCAAAAGGGCCCTTGCCAGGTACTGGGGCCTGGGCCCGAGGGTCCATGCGGTTATAGATTTCCTGCAGGCGAGCTCCTTTCTCCAGCTCATGAACATCTTGGTCCACATTCGACAGCAACTCTTTCACTAGCCCCAGTGCTGCTGTCAGGTCCTGGCGCTCCTCCTCAATTCCTGTACCAGAAGGCCAACATGGGGGACAACTTTCCCACTGTCATTCCAGTCCTAACTCCCACTGTGTCCCAACTCTACCTTTACAGGCTTCCCATAACTCCATACCTGCCCTTTGAGCCTTTATCATCCCAAGCCTTTCCTTACCCATAATATCCCCCTCCCTGGTGCTTCTCCTCACCATGGGAATGCTGAAGGATCCGGTTGATGAGCACTGGATACTTGGTGATGCGCTGAGTCACCAGGAGGATGCATTCCTGTACCCCATGTCGCTTCAGCACAGCTAAGCGGGTCACTTTCTGCAAAGGAAGAGGCAGGGCTCAGGGCTGTCGAAAGATGCCAGTCCTAGCTTTTGGGGCTGGTCCTGCCTTGGCTATTACCTGACACTGGTCTATGTGACATCAACTGGAAAATGGGGACAATGTCCCCGATTTGTGGTAAGGATCAACCCAACAAAGTCAGGAAAAGTGGATGGGAAAATAGTAGGAGATACTGTCCTCTCTGAGGGTTAACTCTTGACAGGGTCCACAAATCTAAAGGGGTAGCCAGTGCTTGCTGTCTGGGTAGGCACAGATCACACCTGACCTTCCCATGAATGAGGAAGATGGATTCAGGCTTATGAGGAGGTTGTGAGTCTGGATCTGCAGAGGCTGGCTCACCCGAATGAACTGCTGGAAGCGTTTGTCTCGAGCATACAACTCCTTATAGAGCTTTAAGGCCTTTGTGTGGCGGCTACAGAACTCTGAGTAGGTCTTCCGCATCTGCTCTGCACTGGGACCTGAGAACTAGATGTCAGGAGAGCAAAGCCAAGTCAACATTTCTCACAAAATCATACCTTATCCCTTGGGCATACCTCCAGCCTCCTGCCAAACAGGCTGGCATCCTGCCTCTGGAGTGTGGTTGGAAACAAACAAACAAAAAAATGCTCACTCCTCCTTCAATGACTATTACCCAGGGGTCCTACCCTTTCCCACCTGGCTGATAAGCAGGTCACCCAAACGATGGATGACAAAATTCCGAGTGCTGCCAGGGCACAGGGCTTGGCGCCGGCGTTCTAACAGTTGGCTAAGGAAGCGGGTATGAATGTCATTGAGCTCATCCACGCAGGGGAATAGGCCCTGGACCACTCCTGGCTCTAACTGTAGTTCTTCTAGCATCCCAGTGCGGAAGAGGCGGGTCATGATCTTCAGTGTCTTCACATGGTGCAGCTCCGTCTGGATTAGTTCTGTGGGGACAATGGGTCATTCAACCTTCTACTCTGGCTTGAGCACAATTTATGGGCCCCTTGGCTGGTCGCTTTTAGGTTAACATCTGCATTAGTGGGATCTTAAATCATTTTTTAATTAATTTTTTTATCTTTACACCTGTCATCTGACGATTATCAACTATTTTAGGAAAAGAACCATGTGTCTTCTATACATCTAAGCCTCCCACACCCAGCATGGTGTCGTACATTAAAAAGGCAGAGTGAAAACTGAGAACCACGTTAAAAAAAGGGATAAAGATGGAGCAGTTGAATATGATTGGTGCATGCCTGTATTCTCAGCACTCAGGAGGTAGAAGCAAGAGGATTGTTGGCTACCTAACAAAACCTTGTCTCAAAAAAACAAAACAAAATATGGGGCCTTGGAGACCAGGTGAAGGCCTAAGGAGCAACCTGATGCCAAGCAGGGTCATGGAGGTAAAGAGTCTGGAGAGGTGGGACTGCTAGAAAGGAGAACATAGACAATCAGGGCCTGGTAAGGGAAGAAGGCTGGGGTGATGCAGTTGGCTCACCATAAATGACATCCTGCTGCTTCATTACTTCCTTTTTATGTTGCTGCAGGAAGCTGCCATCCACAGCAAGGCTCCAGGAATCTGCTGCAAAGTCCTTCTCGTCCATTTCAAAGTCACTCATCAGCTCATTATAGATCACTTCTGCACCTGGGCATCAGTAGAGGAAGAAACTCAGAACGGATTCCTCTTTCCTGGTTTCTAGGCCCTCCTTTACATCCCTTGTCTCCCTGCCCTTCCCAAGGCTGCTCCCACCAGCCCTGCTTCATCTCCTCCAAGTCTCTCCAGCCTCAGGCATGCTCACCTTCATCAATAAGGGATTCCACTGACAGGGTTCGGTTTCGCATGTTGAGGGAGTCTGTGGACTGAGAAAGGATCCGACGCAGCCCCAGGGGAGACTCATCATTGAAATGTCTGAAGGAAGTGAAGGTTGTCTGCATCATCCCTACTCAGGCAGAATATCCCTTCCCAGGAGGGGAACCAAGACTGGGAACTTGAAAGGCAGTCACCCTAAGTTCTCCTTACTTATCAGTCTACAATTCTGAACTCAGAGATGGAAAAAAACCTTAGTCCCCCCCTTTGGGATCCATACTCTGCTACCTGGTCTTCCCTTCCCCAAAAGAGGCTCACCCAGCAATGTTGGTGGTAGAAACACTCTTAGCTAAAGACAAGGAGGAGCGACCACGGCGGGAGCCAAGGAGGGACTGTCGGAAGCTGTCGGAGGAGGGGTAGATGGCAGAGGTAGGCCGCTCCCGGGTAGTTGCTGTCAGGAGAGAGGCCAAGCAAGCAAAAATCAAACTCTCTGCCTCCCCAGAGTTCCAGCCTCCCAAGCTCCTCCACTAGAAACAAGGTATTCTCTGGAACCACTCCCGGCCCTTCTGGTCCAAGAAACACTTATAATGTCACTTTACATCTGTACTATCCTCCAATGTTTGCAGAGCTTTTTCTTGCCTTACTTCCTCTCTGAAACAAACTGAGCAAAGTGAAGCTCAAAAAAAGTAAGAAGACCTGATCAGGACCAATGATGATGAGACTTGGGGCTCTGATCTTTCTGCCTAAGTACCATGTTGTTACACCAAAGCTATCTGACCAAAACCTGACAATTGCCATGAATATTACCAAATGCAGTGATAATAATACAAGGCCAGGCATTCAAGCCTCTAACCCTACTACTTGAGATTGGGAGAATCACAGTTTGAGCGCCAGCCCAAGCAAAATGTTTGTTACAAACTCCATCTCACTCATGGCTCAGCAAGGTTGTGTGTGTCACCTACAGGGGAGGTACAATGTGGTTGGGTATAGTGGTGTACACCTATCATCCCCAGAAACACAGGTAAGCATGAGTAGGAGTACCAATCCCCAGGCTAACTTACTGAGCATACCTCAAAAATAAACAATGTAGACAGGTGCTGGTGGCTCTTGCCTGTAATCCTAGTTATTGAAGAGGCTAAGATGTGAAGACCACAGTTCAAAACCAGCCAAGGCAGGAAAGTCCATGAGACTTTAATCTCCAATAAACTACTAAAAAAAATCCGGAAGTGGAGCTGTGGCTCAGGTGGTAGAGCAATAGTCTTGAGCAAAAGAAGCTTAAGGACAGGCTGGAAATGTGGCTTAGTGGTAGACTGCTAGCCTCACAGCCCATAGAAATGGGAGCATCTACCTTTATTTTACAGATGAGCTAAAGGAGCTCAGGGACAGAGGCCAGGCCCTGAGTTCAAGTGCTAAGACTGGCAAGAAAGAAAGAAAGAAAGAAAGAAAGAAAGAAAGAAAGAAAGAAAGAAAGAAAGAAAGAAAGAAGGAAGGAAGGAAGGAAGGAAGGAAGGAAGGAAGGAAGGAAGGAAGGAAGGGAAGGGAAGGGAAGGGAAGGAAGGAAAGGAAAGGAAGGAAGGAAGGAAAGGAAAGGAAGGAAGGAAGGAAAGGAAAGGAAGGAAGGAAGGAAGGAAAGGAAAGGAAAGGAAGGAAGGAAGGAAAGGAAAGGAAGGAAGGAAAGAAAGGAAGGAAGGAAGGAAGGAAAGGAAGGAAGGAAAGGAAGGGAGGAAGGAAAGGAAGGAAGGAAGGAAGGAAAGAGAGAAAAGAAAGAAAGAAAGAGAAGCAGCAGCAGCTTAGGGATAGTACCTAGGCCTTGAGTTCAAGGCCCAGGACCAGCACCAAAAAAAAAAAAACAAAAACCAAAGCCGGGCGCTGGTGGCTCATGCCTGTAATCCTAACTACTCAGGAGGCTGAGATCTGAGGATTGCAGTTCAAAGCCAGCCCAGGCAGGAAAGTCCGTAAAACCTCTTATCTCCAATAAGCTACCAGAAAACAGGAAGTGGCATTGTGGCTCAAGTGGTAGAGCACTGGCCTTGAGCTGAAAAGCTGAGGGACAGTGCCCAGGCCCAGAGTTCAGGCCCCACAACCACCACCAACAACAACCAAAAAAAAGGTCAAAAAGGGGTTGGAGGTGTGGCTCAAATGGTACAACGCATGCCTTTAGTGCAATCCCTAGTAAAAAAAAAAACAGGTAAATGATACTAATACAGCATGTACCAGGCCCAAATGACAGACCATCACAATCCTTCAGCCCTATAAGGATTTCCCTGTCCTACCTCTAAGCCCAAGAATATAGACCATCCCCTTCCTTATGCCCCTTTTAGCCACTTCCACTAGAGAGGAAGTTGCTGTGTCAAGGTATAACCTCAGGGGGGCAGCAGAGCCCATGAGCTGAGAAGCCTGGGGTCCCAGGGGCTTATGGTGGCCTCCCCAATACCCAACTACTCACTCTTACTTCGAAGAGAGACAGACTGCAAGGCAGTGTTGTTCTTCAACAGAGCAGCTTTCTGTTGCTATGAGAAAGAGCAAGAGACACCAAGAACAGCTGTCACCTAAGGATCACCCCCTCCAGAACCTAGGAGGAAGCAGGTACTGGGCACTGCTCCCTGGGGAGAAGCTAGCACTATGGTTACAGGAATCAGGATGGCAAAGCCCAGTGATGTGGGGCCATGTCTTCAGCAGTAGGCCTGATCCACTAGGGTCTGAGGCCTGGGGCTGAGGGTCTGGGCTGCCCCGTGGTAAGAAGGGTGGAGGAACACAGGGTAGGGAATGAATGCAAAGGCATGAGGGCACCACACGCTTATTACCCTCTCCCCCAGCCCTTTGCCCTCCCTGTCATCTCACCTTCTGCTTGACCTTGGTACAGTTGGCCAGGGTGTCTTTACAGCGGTTGTGGATAGTCACATTGCAGGCTGGGAGGGTGGGGTAAAGAGGGTAAAGGGAGGGCTGGGTGGTACAGGAGGGGACACACCCATGTGCAGACACCCATCTCCCCCTGGACACAGGTATTTCCCCCCTTCCCATACTTCTCAATAATTACCACACCTTAATCCCTTCTCCTCCCACCTCCCTCTTTCTTGAAGCAGGAAGTGAAGTGAGAGAGGGGTCTGGATGTGAACTGGAATCACAGAGTCAGGAGGAGTGAACAATTCTGAACTTGAAGCAAGCTTGAGATGTGGACTACAGGGAAGAGGAGTTACTGCTGTTAGAGATGAGCTGGAGAAGCACAAAGGAGGGTGCAACTGGAAGATGAGAGCAAGGACTCCCACAGACCACACGATGACAGGATGGCAGCTGGGGCGGGGGCTAGGGTAGGGAGCCGTGAACACTCCTTGAGCGCTAAGGACATGCTCCACCTTGACAGTGTTCCACAGCCCAGAGGTGGGTGCCACTACCCTTATTTTACAGATGAGGAACCTGTCCTGGAGATGTTGTAATCAATAGCCTGATACCCTCTTGCTGGTAGCAGAGCTGGCATTTACTCCTTCCTGCCAGTGCCGCACATATATGCCCACTGCCTCTGGCTGGGTCTGAGCAATTCCAAGGCTGATGGATCTAGTGGGGAATAAACAGGTCCACGCCTTGCCCTGCCTTCCCTGCCAATCTATCAGCCTTCTGTTCTGATCCCAGTCAGGCTGCCTCTTCCCTTCCAGGCCCAGGGAGTCCTGTTCACCACGCAAGGCAAACCTACAGCTCCCACACACTCCATCTGCTTCTCCCCCACTTTCTGCCCCACCTCGCCATGGAGTAGGGAAGAGGAGGAAAAAGGAGGGATAGCCAAGTCTAGGCACAGGACCACTGATGTCCCCTTCCCAACACACTCGCAGGCCTTGGCCTTCTCCAGCTTCCCCTCCCCCGCCCAGCACCGGAAACGCTGCTAACTCCTTCAGACAATACTCAGCCCCAAGCTCACTTCCACAAATACAAGGCAAGTAGGGTGGGGCAGAAGGTTCAGACAGATGTGGGGGCTACAACACTGCCCACCCCCCCCTCCCAAGGAGCTCCCTTCTACCCCCAACACCTAGTGTCTCTGGATCAAACCTCCGCTTTCCACCTGCTCTCAAAATAGTAGTGCCCGCCTCCCCAGTTCCCCTGGCAACAAGCTTCCGGACTGGGTATTTTGTCAAGTCTCTAGAGGAATCTAGATGGGGGTTCCCTCCTCATCCTCCCAACTCTAAATCGAGCAGTGAGAAAGTAGGGAGGAAGTTCTTTCTGGGTTTCTTCTCCATAAACCAAAGGGATTCATTTGGAAGCTAGGAAATTCATCCCGTTGGTCAGCAGCCAGTCATAATGCCTCCAATCCTGTTCTAATCAAACGCAAATCGTTGCCATAAATTTGAGGGAGCAGGCCCGAGCTAGAGCCTTCTGCATAAACAACTTCAGGAAGGAAAGGATTTCTGGCTGATACTCCCTCATGCATGGTCCTTTCTTACTGTCTAGTTAGACTGGAAATCTAAGACAGGGTTCTAATCCCATTTTGTCCTTGAAAGGACGTAAGATTTCAGACTCTACCCACAAGTATCAGAAAGGAAAGGACAATGGAACCCTGAGGTCCTGAATGTCCAGTTTTGCCCAGCAAGATGGACAAAGCCAGCTGTGAGGCTGGCAACTTTCCCCAGCGCCTCTCCCACCACTTTTCACACACAAGTCCTCCTCCTTCTGCAGTCAGTTCCCCTCAGCAGCTGTTCAGGGAGCAAGAAGGCTACCCCGCGGGTGACAGCTGCAAAGAGCCATTCCAGCTTTTCTCATCCACATCCCCAGCTAGACCTGCTTCTGCCACATTCCAATAGCCACCACCCTCCAGAGGAAGGAGAATAAGAAAGAAGCATCTGGTCCTGGCACTTGGGCTCAGCGGAGAGCTTCCCTTATGATCCAGGGCAGAAATGACAGGTTACAACTGGTAGTCACCAAATCTGTTCAGGGGACAACTTACTTGGGCAGATGAGGGCTTCCTTGGCTGTGATGCTCTTGTTACAGGCATAGCACATAGTCATGCCCGAAACTGAGATGGTAGTGAAGAGGTGCCCATTGGTATAACGGGCGTCCTTGGCTTCCTTCATCTTCTCCTTTTCCCGGTTCTGTGGAAGGGATGCAAGAAACAGGAGGTGAAGCTAGGTGGCATCAGGGTACCTGGAGTCCAGTCACAGGTTGAGGGCAGAAGCAGAGAAATGCCTGCTTGCTGAGCTGGAAAGACCATTCTCAATACAGCCTGCAACAGGGTATCATCAGGGGTAGCTGTCCAGAAGTGAGCAGGCCGAGGGATAGCCAGCTGCAAAGGGCTCCTGGACCCCTGACCTACCTGGCCCCTGCGGCTGGGCTGCCTCCTATTGCCACTCATCTCCCTGGTTCTGCGATCTCTGCGTCCTCACTCTACCTCCCAGCCTTAGCTCTGCTCGCCCCCGGGCTGCTGTACGCTCTTCTCTGTGCTGGGGGGGGTGGGGGGGGTGGGAAGATGCGCAAAGAAGAGGGAAGAGCAGGCAAAGCAGAGGGTGCCAGCTCACCAGCGCTTTCCAATCTATGGGAGTTAGCTCCTCTCATAACCATGACAACCAGCGTTAGAGCCGCTATCTCATGGCAGTCACAGTGGCAGTGGGGGGGAAGGGGGAGGCAAGAATGAGAGGGCAGGAGTTTCCTCTAATAATGGCTGAAGGGGCACAACACCTCAATGGCTACCCTCAACTTAAGAGGTCAGGTCCCCCAACCTCTAACTCTTCCACCCATTCTCTCAGCCAAAGCCTCTGTTTGGAAGGCAGCATGTCTCTCATGGACTTCTAGATAAGGGGAGCCTCATTCTGACCTCAGGTCAGTCTTCCTCTCTGGCACCTTTAAGGAAGGAAATCAGCCAGCAGGCTGGGATGTCCTAGTGGAAAAGCTCCCTTGCAAACAAACTTATTCCTCTCATATTCCTCTTCAGACACAAAACCTGTGGAAGCTCCAGATTGTTCCTCATCCAACTGGTCCTGGTCTCCCACATCCTTTCTGCCATCTACACCATCCATCAGTATTTTTTTTTTTTTTTTGGTTGGTCATGGGGCTTGACTTCTGGGCCTGAGCACTGTCCCTCAGCTCTTCAGCTCAAGGCTAGCACTCTACCACTTGAGCCACAGTGCCACTTCCAGTTTTCTGGTGGTTCATTGGAAATAAGAGTCTCACAGAAGCTGGATCCCGGTGACTAACACCTGTAATTCTAGCTACTCAGGAAGCTGAGATCTGAGGATTATGGTTCAAGGCCAGCCCGGGCAGGAAAGTAGTCAGCAGAAACTCATCTCCAATTAACCACCAGAAAACTGGAAGTGGCCCTGTGGCTCAAGTGGGAGAGCACTAGCCTTGAGCTGAAGAGCTCAGGGACAGTGTCCAGGTCCAGAGTTCAAGCTCCACGACTGATCCCCCCCACCAAAAATAAAATAAAATAAAATAAAAAACAATTGACCCTCCCCCCCAAAAAAAGTCTCAGAGCCGGGCGCCTGTGGCTCACGCCTGTAATCCTAGCTACTCAGGAGGCTGAGATCTGAGGATCTCGGTTCAAAGCCAGCCCGGGCAGGAGAGACCGTGAGACTCCTATCTCCAATAAACCACCAGAAAACCGGAAGTGGCGCTGTAGCTCAAGTGGTAGAGCGCTCGCCTTGAGCTGAAGGGCTGAGGGATAGCGCCCAGGCCCAGAGCCCCACGGCCGACCAAAAAAAAAAAAAAAAAAAAAGTCTCAGAGACTTTCCTTCCCAGGCTGGCTTTGAACTGTGATCCTCAGATCTCAGCCTCCTGAGTAGCTAGGATTATAGGTATGAGCCACTGGCACCCAGCTTCATCCTTCTCTTGATCTCCATGGAGATAGGACATACTCCATATATGTCCCTTCCCAGCCTTTCCTCTGTAAGCTTTCTACCAGCTGCTTCTGCAAGTCTTTTTTCTTGACCTCTTGTCAGCCCCTACTTAAGCCCGAGCTTCTGAAACAGCGGGAGGTGAGATGGTGAGGACATCATTCTTCCTCACCTCTTCTAGTACGTTCCTCAGTTGTCACTTGAGGTTTCTTAATTTCCCCTCCATTCTTTTTCTTCTTCTGTCATGGTCCTAGGGCTTGAGTCAGGGGCCTGAGCTTTTTTTGCTCAAGGCTAGTAGCACGCTACCACTTGAGCTACAGCTCCACTTCCAGCTTTTTAGTGGTTAATCAGAGAATCTCAAAGACTACTTCGGAGCTGGCTTCCTACAGTGATTCGCAGATCTCAGCCTCAGATCTCAGATCTGGCTTCCTGCTTCCCTCCACGCTTAAAGGACCATAAGGCAGTTCTAGAAGCAGACCACTCTCTTCAAGGTAGCCCTGCCTCTCTCTCAGAAATCAAGAACAGCAACCATCTGGGTGCTGGTGGCTCATGCCAGTAATCCTAGCTACTCAGCAGACTGAGACCTGAGGATCAAAGTTTGAAGCCAAACCTGGCAGAAAAGTTGTAATACTCTTTTTTTTTTTTTTTTTTGGGGGGGTGGTCCGTCATGGGGCCTGAACTCTGGGCCTGGGCGCTGTCCCTCAGCTCTTTAGCTCAAGGCTAGCACTCTACCACTTGAGCCACAGCGCCACTTCCGGCTTTTTTCTCTTTGCTTATGTGGTGCTGAGGAATTGAACCCAGGGCCTCATGCATGCAAGGCAAGCGCTCTACCACTGAGCCACCTTCCCAGCCCCAGTTGTAATACTCTTACCTCCAGTTTACCACCTGCAAACTGGAAGTAGAGCTGTAACTCAAAGTGGTAGAGTATGAATCTTGAGAAAGCAAAGCGGGGGGGGGGGGGGGGGGGGGGGGGACTCAGGAATATAACACCCAGGCCCTGAGTTCAAGCCCCATGACCAACAACAACAGAAAAAGAACAACTGAGGCTAAGGATCTGAGTCCCAGTGGCTGGGCCCTTGGACAAAGAATTAGAATTACAACCCAGTGAGGCCATAAACCAGTCCTGACCACAGCTCCAGCCATGCTCAGGGCAGTTACACTAGCAGTCAGGGGTTGGGGGAGGGGAGAACAGTGGCCTGGTGCCTAAGGGTAGAAAAGGGAAGTGTGCAGGGTCTGAGTCAACAACTCAGGGGCCAGAGGGCACTGGGCTACAGTACCCTAGGTTTCAGAGTGTCCTGTGACTTTAGGCCTCAGGGTGTCCTGGTACCCAAGATCCTTCTCTAGCCCCTCCCCTCCTTAGCTTAGAGTGGCTGGTGGATGGCTGACAATGAACAGAGCTCAGAGGCTTGCAGGTCTTTTCCTTATCTTTATTCTTTTCATGTACCCTCTCCACCCCCTTGTTCTCTCTCTTCCCATCACCCAGTTTTCTCTCCATGTCTTCTCTTCTGAGCTCAGACTCTCCCTCCTCTGCACCTCCACCTCTGCCTTCCTTTTCTCGGCCAGCTTTGCTTCAGCTCTGGCTTCTGCTTCTCCTCTGCTGCAATGAGGCCCTCCCTCTCCTTTCCCCTGCAGGCAATTCCTCCTTTCTGCTTGGGCCTAGCTCAGGAGCTGAGCTGACAGATTCTAGAACTCTGTCTAGCCTCTTGATACTGCAGCCTCCCTTTTTCTCCACTGGTACCTAACATACCCGAATCACTAGAAACATCATTGGTCTAATCTTAATCTATCTTGTGCCAAAGTATAGGTCTTTAATCAATGCAATTTAGATCAAATTCTCCTGTAGGACCTCAAAGACCAAGTCCAAAGGGCTGGCCACACACTGAATGTTTGAGCAATTATGACATCTGAATGAAAAGAAGCAAGCAGACAAACATGAAAATAGCAATACAATCAAACATGCCTGGAAGGATCACTCCAGAGGGTAGTGCTACAGATGGCCAGAATGCTGCTACGAGAACCCTTTTTCCACACACAGCTGGGCCCCTGGCCTCAGCCTTGGCCTCTAATTAATTTCCTGAGGTAGGAGACCTCCATCCTCCAAAATTCACCTATCAGGCCAGTTCTGATAGGAGTAGCAAAGGGAGAGAGAGGCTTCAGACAGCTAGAGAAGGGCTCTCCAGTTCACTCCTGCCCTTTGGCACAGAAGCGGATATAACCCAGGCACTTGGGGCCCTGCTTCCTCCACCTCCCAACACTCACCCTGTCTTGAAGTGACCCCCTCTCTAGGTGGGCCAGCAGCGGGCAGCAGCCACAGCAGCAGCACATCCCAGCATGGGCACTGCCCAGCAGCAAGCAGCCCTGGCACTGCCTAGCACTATTGTTCCAGAGGTGGCCTGTGCCCGCCCCAGGGCTTGGGCTACTGAGGATGGAACAACACAGGGACAGCGCCCAGGCCCAGAGCTCAGGCCCACGACCGGACCCCCCCCCAAAAAAAAAAAAAAAAAGAGTCTTATGGACTTTCCTGCCTGGGCTCGCTTTGAACCACAATCCTCAGATCGCAGCCTCCCGAGTAGCTAGGATTACAGGTTGAGCCACCAGTGCTCACATTCCCAGCCCACAGAAAAGTTCTTAAAAATGCATCTTAATGGTCTCAATCAAAGAAGCTGAGCCTGGCACCAGTGGCTCACGCCTGTAATCCTAGTTACTCAGAAGGCTGAGATCTGAGGATCAAATTCAAAGCCAACCTTGGTAGGGAAGTTTGTGTGACTTATCTCCAATTAACCACCAGAAAACTGAAAGTGTCACTGTGGCTTAAGTGGTAGAGCACTAGCCTTGAACTGAAGAACTCAGGGATAGCACCCAAGCGCAGAGTTCAAGCCCCACAACTGACAAAGAAAAAAAAAAGAAGAAGCTGAGTATGGTGATGTGTTCCTGTGATCCCAGATAGATCAGTCTAAACACAACCTGTCTCAAAATAACCAGTATAAAAAAGGGTTGAAGCCGGGCGCCTGTAATCCTAGCTACTCAGGAGACTGAGATCTGAGGATCTCGGTTCAAAGCCAGCCTGGGCAGGAAAGACTGTGAGACTCTTATCTCCAATAAACCACTAGAAAACTGGAAATGGCGCTGTAGCTCAAGCAGTAGAGCGCTCGCCTTGAGCAGAAGAGCTGAGGGACAGCGTCCAGGCCCAGAGTTCAAGCCCCACGACGGGCGGGGGGGGGGGGGGGGGGCTATAAGTGAAAAAGCAAGTGACACACAAGGGA